GGGGTCCGGGCTGTGACAGCCTGAGCTAATGAGCTGTCAATGGACAGGAGAGGGAGAAACGGAAAGAAGCGAGAGAGAGGTATTATGAAAAATAAGTTGGAAGGCCGGACCAACAAGAGGGGGTATTCATAGTAATCCATTGCATCACAGTGTGGTCATCTTGGCTTGGCAAACAAGAGGTGTATGTAATCAAAAACAGAGTGGTTGTAATCAAATGAAAACCACAGCCTGAGACCAGCGTTTACTGCAACAGGAGCACTTGAGGACAAAGTAGAAACCATCATTAGGATAATACGAACACAGAGGAGTCTACCCACAAACCTTTCACAAGCAGAGCAACACATGAGCCTAAATCCTCAGCAAGAAAAAAACAAAAGCAAGCCGGATAGTTGGCATCTGTTTGTCCAATTTTAATCATTTGGCTTAATGCAACTGAGCGTTCCACTGGAAAGTCTCCAGAAGTCATGATACAATCGCTCGATTACTGTCACCGGGCCAGATCCAGTTACCACCAGAGATCACATAATGGACAAGGACACTCAAATCACACCTATAGTTTATTTTCTCTGGACTGAACCACAGCGGAAAAGTTGACTTTGTTACTTTCGTGTGGGTTCATTTAGGTTCAAGCCCAAGGCCTGTAAACATAACTGACAGAGGTGAGTGGTGAGAGAAGTTAAATCAACTGGATTCCAGTCCCTGCAACTTAGGTGAAGCATGATGGACACATTTGTGTAGGCTTGTCTGTAATGAACATGAATTATAGGCAGCAGCTTGCATTCAGCACTTGAGCAAGGTTTCTCAAGCATGAATTTCAAGGTCCACACTTTTCATTATGGACTTGTTTCCTTTTACTGCTTATAGAGTTATAACTCCGTCCTATCTCAAAACAAAACCTGCGCCTCAGGCGTCATGGTGCGGTTATTTGGTGACACCCAAATCCAGTCAGCACGGTGTCCAACCTATTTAAACAAACCTTTACTAAAAGGAAAACACTCCACTCATAACATGTTTTATGTGAACCGGCCCACATATTGGTATGAGTTTCCAACCTGGGTCCAACTCAACTGTGACTTTAACTAATGGAATGACAGCACTCCATCATCAACTTCTGTCTGGTCTTCATGTTGGTGCAACAGGCCGGGTGCAGCAAAAAACTAACTGATTCACACACTGTGATGCCTTTATTCAATAATTCATTATTCTTAAGCCTATTTTCACTGTCGTAGCCATAAGTGGGCTTGGCAGTGTCAGTTTACAGTTGCTGGGTTAATAGTTTACATGTATGCTGAACTGTATATTACAGGGTGACTTCGGATCAGGAATCCAGTCGGACCCGTGGGAGTCATGCAGCGTCTTCCCACTGTGTGTTTAGCATGGGAACAGACTATAAAACCAAGACTGGGGAGTAGAGATGCTGTATAATGTATTTTATAGCTGCATCATCGTCCAACATTAGTTTAATATGCGCAAGCTCAACATGTATCATTATTTGCTGCAGATAACTTAAGAAATGTATTGCATGGGAAGCCCTTTTTGAACTAGAAGTACTGTCTAGCAAAAGCTGAAAACAGTTCAGTGAAACAGGGTGGGGACTAAAAGTGATGTGTTCAGGTCACAAATGAATGGAAATAAATAAGTTAGAACCAGTGTGTATGGTGATTGACATGTATAAGACTGGTCCCCTTGTTGTCTTACAGGTGCATCTGAGTGGCTGTGTGCCCCTCTGTTTAATCAGGTTGGCCTTAAAAACTGAACCCTGCTTTGCTCGGACTGACTGGTGAACTTACTGCAAAAGTAAAGGAGCAAACAGTCAATCTAGCTGTCAGATTGTGGGGGACTTTGTCTTAGAGTCACAAAGTGAGCATATGAAAGTCATCAAAAAAAGCAAATAAAGGTTAACTCTTGATGGCCGTTTTAAACACAGGAGAAACTGGTGTTTGCTGCCATAATTAGATCCACTGAGGATGGCTCAGAGTGCCAACAATGGAAAATGACTTCAGCTTGAGGATGATTGTTTGTCTTTTGCTGTAGATGTTGTTCAAACAGTAACTGAGAACTGGAGTCAGAGAAAATTCAAATGGCCTAAACGGCACAACGAGACACACATTTTAACATCAAGGTTTTGGTTTTAACTGATGTTAAAAAGGGAAGAGACAAACCACTTAAAAAATCCTAAACAGAATATCCTGTGACGCCAAAGATGGTAGATGTCTGACACATGTCCAAGCCGTCCCCCAAAACACCTAATGGTCTGCTTTATAACAGCCGATATCAAGCCAATCGTGTTGTAGCAAGTGACAGTTGATATTGTGAAACCTTGCGTGTGCGTAGTAGAAACATAAGATGTGGATATGAGGCGTTTTAAAATGTATTTTGGTGCAAAGTCACCAAACTTTTTAAGCTGTTTACAAAGTTACGGCCCTCTCCCCATTCATTTAGATACGTGCCTGGTCCTGTTAGCCCAAGATATCTGCACGAGGCCATTGCCAAGCTGGCTGCCGAGTGGCGAGACTTGCCTTTAATGACTTCGGTTTTTCTATTACCATACACAGGCCACATGAGCGCATACTGAAAACAGCTCGATTGATTACAGATTATTTACCATATGAATAAGTAACGGTGTGAGGGAAGAAATACAGACAAAATATTAAGACAAGCATGGACATTGAGCAGTCAGACAGGATCTCGGACCAACGGCACTGTGTGACTTAATAGCTTATACGATAATAATAGTTAATGGTAGGATGATTAAAACTGCTCTATAAGTAGCTTTAGCTACTGGGGCTTATTCCATGATCTATTTGTAGTTTCTTCATCACTTTACACAAAGAAATTACAACTTCAATCAACCTTTGAATGTGATATTTGCTAAAACTAAGGGATGGGACAAACAATCAATCGAACAGCATTTGCAATACCTTTGCTTCACTGGTTTTATAAAGGGTAAGGGACTGTTCTTTGCAGTAATTTACTATTTTAAGCTTGAACTTAAACTGCGCAGACCCTGATCCTGCAACATACGATTTGATAATCATCAGGCTTTATAAAGTTGGAGGTATATTCTCACATCATCTCATACATCTTGATTTCTAGAGGACAATATGTTTTTTGAAACTTTCAGCATTAAAGCAAGCCTGTGTAACTTTGCTGGCAGCACTGCTACAGTTGGTAATTAATGCTTTAAGTCAATAAAGCTGAATCAGTGTTGTCAATTACACAGCAGAATTTATCTAAATTTTTTTCTTAGCTAACATTAACCACTATAAGCTTCCATAATACCAGACAAAGTAAGGCCGTAACATCCTGAGTGTACTGAATTGAGTGAGGGTGTCTTTTATTTCTCATGGATTCAACTTTTCATTTGTAAACTAATGAATGTGCTAATTCTGCTTTCAAGATTGTTTACATTTGTAATGAGCGTAAACACAGAAGTACGCAGCCATGTAATTGGAGTTGCAATGAGCGAAGGAAAGTTTCAAAAAGCATATTGTCCTCTAGAAATCAAGATGTATGAGATGATGTGAGAATATACCTCCAACTTTATAAAGCCTGATGATTATCAAATCGTATGTTGCAGGATCAGGGTCAGGCTATGCCGCCATAACAGGCAATCTTCTCATCTACAACAGACCTAATAGTGGAAGCAGTCGACAAAGACTTTATTCAACACATATGTATGCATCATAAGGGTGCCAAGACACTGCAGACTAAAAATAGCCTCATATATGACCAACACACCCACTCATAGAAGGAAACATGCTCTTATGTGCATTTGGCTCTGTCTGTTAGGAGTCTGGTGGAGAAAAAAAAATCCACAAAACACCCAAAGTGTGGTGCTTGTAAGAGACGGGCTATTTATAGGCTTACTCCAGTGAGGGAGACCGCTCTTCCCTCATGTTTTGGATCAGCACTTCACACGGGTGAGAGGAGGGAGGAAGAGGGGGACTCTCTATTGACACAACACCGAAACTGACACAAAGTGTTTGTGCTTGAAGCACTTAATTGGAACAGTTATACTTTCCACTACAATTTAGTGCCATTAGGTACCAAGCTGCAGCCTTACATAGAAAGAGGTAAGAGTCCAAATGCATGATAACAGCCACAGATATCATTCAATAACCTGCACAGACACTCCTTAGGAGGCCCGGCACACCTATTTTTACACAGAGCACGATGCTTTTTGCTTTCTTCAGCTGAGCAAGAAAGTGGCTTTATCTAAAGTAAGTATTTGAATGCTGTTTGTACTCATAATGATGCAAATAGGTTGTCTAAGAGTCTATAATCTCAATTGGCATTGGTGTTATCCATAAAACTGTCTACTTTTGGAAACACCCTACCTCTACTGCAGGGCAGACCTGAGGTGAATGAAGAAAAATAACTAAATGATGTAAAACATCAGCTATCACATGGTATGTTACTAAAAAAAGAAACAACATCAGCAGCTGCACCACTATACATAAAAATACTCCTTTTGGTAATCACCACAAGGTAAGTGACCACCAATATGAGTCAACTTTCATATGGTTTGTGCTTCCTAAGAAACAAATCCCGTATGACTTACATAAGTTTGGTTTTATTTGATGCATTCAAGCATTTTCACATCAGCCATCTCTGACTACCTGAAGTTAGATGTTGGACTATAGAAAACAACCATTAACTAGCTACAGATTGTGATCAGTTCTGACATCTTGACATTGTCATTCAAACAGAGCAGGCAACACATATGAAAGGAAAAGTGGGTCACCACATATGTAGAACACATAACCCTTAACACATAGAGAAACCATGTGTCTTTATGGTTATGAGAGGCCCATGTGTTTATGCGTGAGAGTATAGGTGTTAAGGCTACAGCACGCGACTTGACACACAGGAGTCGTGACCAGCTGTGACGTTAAATAGCACAACATGAAGATGAAGTTGACTGAGTGAAAAAGAAAACACATATGTGTGCGAACAGGCAGCACTGACAGACAGTGTGTATCAGTGGAGAAACTCACATCCTCGAACAGGGATCCAACGTTGGCTGTCACCAGCAGTATTCCTGTGCCTTGCGCTGCTGTCAGCTTCCCTGCCATAATTCTCTCTCGCAGGTAGGTCGGGGACTTGTACAGCGGACTTTGTAGGTAAGATGCAGTAACAAAAAAACAAACAGAAGCCGGCGAATGTCTGACGAAACTGGTTAAAACGCTGAGAATTTGCGACTGAAGCCGGGGTTGAGGCGGCTCGGCTGGAGCATATTTTTTCAGCAGTGGCCGTGCATCTACCAGGAGTTGCTTTGCAGTAGAAGGTCCGTTGGCGGCGGCGGTTAGCGTGTTGCTTCTCGTGCTACTTTTTCACCTTCAGAGCCATCGTAAAAGTTTCCGTTTTAATCCACGGCGATTGCCTGAGGGCTCTGGTTCATTTCAGTTACGAGTGTTTGCCTAGCTTTTGAGCAGTGTAAAAGTCTCCCTCCTAAAGCAGGACTCGCTGCCAGGACCATTGCCTTCACTGTTTAGAGAGGATAGGCTGGAGCCCTTCGCTGCTCTGACGTCACCGTGCCAATGGAAACACGGGGCTGTCTTAAAGGGCCAGCGCACCGTAAACACAACAGCTCTGCCTCTATCCGCACGGAGTCCATTATCGGACACAACTGGGCTACCCCAGAGTGAGTGTTTGTCTATTCCAGCTTGTCCGCCGATATTCATCCATCGACATAACAGTATCTCGAGTTTCTTTTAAAATCTTGTAACTGTCTTTTGTCTTACGAAATGTATTTCCATTATTCATGTCATGGACAATATTACATTTATCACAATTAAATTCACTTGTTTAAGCCATGAACTGATTGATGACTGCTTTGCATGGAAATATTGCAAAGCAAAAGTGGTTTCACTGAACAGTTTCAAGACATAACAACAACAATGTAAATTCCTTATCATCGTATTCTGCTGGCCCACTGGCTATGACAGTATGTCAGTTTAACCACTGATATTAGGCTACTGTTTTTTCAAGTGGGTAGACATGAAGCTTCCCCCACTACTACTGAGGTGTTTGAATGAGTTCAGACATGTCAATCTAGTCACAAAGCATGAACCAGGTTTAATTAGGTTGTAAGACAAGTTTAGTGGCAGAGTCACTTATGCTTATCTACAGTTTATCGTTAAGGATGTTTCTTGTTTTGCTATTTTGCTTTTCTTTATTGTATAATTCACTGTGAAGAAAATCATGAAAGATTTGGCAGAGAGACTGAGGATATGGGAGCTGTCCTTAATTGGATTGTTATCTGTAGTGTTTTGAGCTGATATCTCAACAGAGTATGCATGTGACAAGGAATATAATTAAAAACAATACGGACACATTCATCGCTGTTGAGAGAGATGGATATACTTCATCCGTGGCACTGATTTCAACTGAACAGGTAATAGCTGCCATCTCCCAATTAACAATGCTAATCAAGTCTGTTTGAATTTTTAAAGTTTTTCAACACTGACCACAGTCTCAAAAAATAAGCCCAAAACACACAAATAAGCTCAGTCAAACACTGTCATGCCATGTGGATTATGACAGTGTACAGAAAGTTACAGATTTTACCTTTAAAGTTGCAGTGAGAGATTTTTGACCACTAGGTGGCAGAGAGACAAAACAAACTGCATTACCACCATGTTTTCATGTTATTACATGACACAATAACATGTGTTTATGTATGTTTTACTTATTCAGCAAAAAAAGGCTGATGTGTGTGTGTGTTGTCAAAATCACATTTTAGTTTGTGAGATGTTCCACATTATTTATAAGCCACTTCACACTGGGGGGCAGGAAGTATAAAATTGAGCTTGTGGGTTCTGATCAAATAAGTAAGACTTTAAATAAACCAGAACGGTTTCTGTTTGTAGTACCTCGACACCAAAGCTGTGAGGTGAAAAGGGCTGAAAACTGGGCTCAGCAGTTGTCAGAAACGCTATCAAATTACAAAGCAATTTAAAGAGTAAATTACAGCGTGATTTGATTCATTGCTTATATTAAAAAGTAATGTTTAATGCATATTTGATGCATACGTTAGACCTTTGAGCTACTGGAACGCTACCTAAGGATATGCATAGTAAATGGCTCAGTTTAAAACAGTTTGTCCGCAAGCTGAAGGCAAAACCATAATGACACATTGGCTCTCATTGTCACACTATCATGGCTTACAGGGATACTTAAATACAATGGAGCCATTGTTACAATGTGATTAGTAACACCTTTGCTTGTTATACTATGACACATCTTCTCTAAGTGTCTGCTGTGAAAATAGTCCGTTGTCTAAAAAGTGTAGTTTTCTCCACTGCATTCAAAATGACAAAATAAGGGTTTAAGAGAAAACAGTGTGATTTCTGTAAGTAAGGATAAACATCATCATCATTATCATATGCTCAAATTAGCCTTGAGAAGAAGCTCTGCGATCTTGTGGATGCCTAACAGCAGATAGCTATCTCACTCATCTATATAACTGGGCTCAATCAGCAGCCATTAGCAAACGGCTAAAATTGTCCTGACCTGACGCACATGCCCTAACATGTTGTGCTACAGAATTTAGGCTATAATTGCCCTTTCCACTGCATGTGTGTGAAATCCTTGCTAAGACCTAGGCCCCCTTTGCCAAAGGTGGACACGCACTCTTTGATCTAAAGAATTCCTATTTAGGTTTTGGCAGGAAGATCTTGGAAAATTTCATATTAAAAGACTGGAAACCAAATCAGTGTGCATGACTGGGTTTTGCCAAGGGTACTTAGAGGCACAGCCAAGCCCATGTGTAATGGATTATTATGAATGAAAATAGATTATATTGGCCTTTTCCTGGCATTACAAAACCTGTTTGTTGACAACATATTGCTTATCCAGCATTAGCTCACCTGTTTACTGACACAAGGCTTAGGACTGAGCTGGGAAACCAGTGAAAAAAGAGTAACCTCATTTGAAAATTGACTGCTGAGTGCTAGCTTAGACTGAAAAGTACACCTGATTACAGTAAGCTGAGATCAAATTGTCAGTTAGCTGACAATTGCGGTTGTCATGCAAGTTTTGGGAATAGAAATGATCTGTGATGTTTCTTTCCATCAACTTTTAGCCTCTGAAACCTAACATCTGGCAGAAACACAGTGTGACTCTTCTGCATCATTCACAGATCATCATGTATTAATTACAGACATGCTTTTCACGCAGCATGATGCGATCTCCCCTGATGGTTTTGAGGGAGCTGGGGACCATAAATAGCCCACTCCAGTTAGAGGTAGTTTGAGGTCAACAGCTTAGGGCAGGCATATGACACGCTGGATAACAGCGCAATGAGCTCCTGTTTCTAGAAGAAGAAGGAATCAGAGTGAGAACTAACTTTACTGAGTAAGTTAAATAAATCCTTAGACATCGTCAATGTTGCTATGTCATATTTTGTGTGAATTGTACTGTTTTTCAACACATTCAGCAAGTGTCCAGCTGTGTAGAGATAACAGGAGGAAAAGGTGGCAATCCTCAAATGGCTAAAGGATGGCTCATGGAGCTATTATGTTAACAGCTTCAGGTTTGTGTGTGTGTGTGTGTGTGTGTGTGTGTGCGTGTGTGAGTGTGATTGGCGTGCGTGGCCTGCGTGCGTGCGGTAGTGGTGCGTGCGTGCAGTGCGTCGCGTGGCGTGCGTGCGTGCGTACGTTGTGTGTGTGTGTGTGTGTGTGTGTGTGTGTGTGTGTGTGTGTGATATGTGAGTGTGTGTTTAGGGAGAGGGGGCATGGTCATGGCTCACTGAGAGTCTTTGAAGAGAGCTGAGAGATTATCGCCAAAATGAGAGTGCTCACAGCTGTGCCTGGCATGGGAGTGTGTGTGTGTGTGTGTATGTATGTGTGTGGGTCTGTGTGCATGCATGTGTGTGTGGGGACTGAGAATTTGTGTCTTTGTGACTCCAGTGTTATGGTGTTATGATTGTGTTTGCATGATTGTATGTTTATTTATGTGGTGTTTCGCCATGTTCTGTATGTGTGAACATGATATGCCTCAGAATATCCATAATCAGTCATTCAGACGCATGAAGAGGATAATAGTAACATTCAAAGGGAAGAAATCAGTGCCATAGAGCTATTGTGTGTGCAGTTTTTTGTGTGTACATGTACAGAAAACAATCCAAACTAGATCATATCTCTTTTGCTAAATGATATATTCTCCACTGTCACAGTAAACTAAGTACATTAGAATAATGTAAACTGTGTGGAGAGGACTGGAACATTCTTAGTCTGACAGACGAATGTTTATCATAAAGATAACATTTTAAGTCAAGCTTGGTTTGGATGACTAAGAGTTAATAGTTTTGCTCATGAGGAGGCCCAAAGAAGACAAGGCCAAAAAAAAAAAAAAAACCATTAGCAGTGTCCTTAATAGGCAGAAGATGGAAAGAAAGGAGAGATGGAGGATGAGGAAGACAGAGGAGCGAGGGGAGGAAAATGAAGTTGGTGCCTCCTCTCTACAAGTGGAGCTCAGCAAGCCCAGCATGACATAACAAATGAACCTTATCTTTAGAGGATTAGTGTGACCTTTTGGGAAAATTAAGTGGCACAGTGAAATTCATCTGCGTGTCTCATAATGTTTGGCTCTGGAAGCTTGTTTACATAGTGACTACTTGCAGGACTAGCTCTGTCTGGTGAGCTAACTGCTGGAATGCTAACCAGCTGGGACATGCTAGTGCTAGTCAGTGACAATAATACCTCCCTGGTACTTTGTTCTTTGGATTGTACATCATTTCATTCAATAAAGATTTGTATTGAAAAAGGGGAAAAGCTCTCTGAGCTAATGAACTTCCTAACTCATCTCCTGTCTCATAACTATCTGCAAACCATTTCTCTTTTGTGGAACAATTTGATGAGAGAAAAAGGAATAGTTTAACATTTTGATAAATACGCTTATTTGCTTTCCCTACCAAGAGTGAGATGAGAAGATTGACACCACTCTCATGCCTGTACTGTAAATATGTAGCTGGAGGCAGCCACTACCTTAGCTTAGCACAGAGACTAGAAGTGAGGGGAAACAGCTATATTTGCTTTGTCCAAAGTTAACAAAGTCAGTAAATATGCAGTAAAGTTCAAGACCCACCATTTTATATCTCGTTTGTTTAATCCATGCAAAGCTTAAAGGTTAAAATGACAAATTGTGGTTCTACAGGGGGTTATATGAGTCTTTGCTGGTGAGTTATAATGTGTCAATTAATATGCTTTTGGGGTGTTTTTTTCCCCTTTAGACACAGTCAGACTCGCTGTTTCTACTTGCTCACAGTCTTTACGCTTATACTGGGCTAACTACGTCCTTGCTCTAGCTTCATAATTACATTGCTCAGACACCAGAAATGTATCAATCTCTTCATCTTACCCTCGGAAAGAAAGCACATAAACATGTTTCCCAAAATGAGGTACTATTCCTTCAGAGTACCATCTGTGCAACTGTATCTCAGCCGATATCTCGCTTTCTGCT